CCCAGCTATGCTGTGAATCCATCAGTTAGAACACCAGTTTTATTTTTAACCTTATATCGGGTTGTGAACATTTCTTGGTACCTCATGCCAAATTTACGGGATGAGAAAAAAACTCCACTAACATCCTACAAATCGAGGTCTTCAAGAGCAGGTCAAGCCTCTGCCATTACTGGTTCTGGCAGCACTCCATGACTTTTGATGTCGGCCTGAAACCTGTCCATATAGGCTGCACGGACAAAAGCATGTGAAAATTCTTTGAGCTTATACAAAACCCTGAAACTTTGATTACTATTGTTTCATGCACCTGAAATTTTCAGCCAAGGCAGTAACTAATATTTCAAACATCAACTAAAGCTTTGTATGGTCCTAAACTGTCTTTCAAACTCAATTATTTTTCAATTATCACGTATCAATATTTACGCATTAAGCATTAGCTTGACTGATTACACAGGCTGCCTTCCTTTAACTCACAGAATCACAGAATTACTAGGGTTAGAAGGGACCTCCGGAGATGATCTAGTCCAACCGATCTGCCAAGGCAGGGTCACCTAGAGCACGATATGCTGGGTAGGGTCGTGGCAACTTTAACAGTGTAAAGCTCATCCTTCCACAGCCAGTTTTACTGTATGCAGACACTGTCTCGATTTGGGCAAATTGCTCTTTAAGAGCCTCGGTGTTCAAACACAGCCCTTTTGCAAACCCGGAGGCATCTCCGGCGCCAGGGCCTCCTCTCTGCACGTTCGTGGTGTTCAGAGCACCAACTCAGTGCCTGCTCTGCCCTGAGCGCAGTGACTCTCTCTCCTCGCCCCGCCTCAGGGGCCGCCGCTCCGCCCGCCCCGGCTCCCCGGACGCACCTGCTCCAGGGTGAGCCGCAGGAATTCCTCCGAGAGCAGCTCCGGGTGCAGCAGCAGCAGCTCCGACTCCGAGCGCGCAGACCCCCGCTCCTCCTCGCCATCGCCACCGCCGCCGCCCGCCGGGACTCGTCTCCGCGCCGCCATCTTCGTCCCCCAGCGGCCTCTTCCCGGACTCCCACAAACCCACGCGCGGAGGGAAACGCGTTTCCAGAGCAGCCGCGCGCCGCGGTGGCGTCACGGGATGGAGCGGGAGGCAGGACAGCGGGGGCCGGGACAGCGGGGCCGGGACAGCGGGAGGCAGGACAGCGGGGGCCGGGACAGCGGGGCCGGGACAGCGGGGGCGGGGACAGCGGGGGCGGGGACAGCGGGGACCGGGACAGCGGGGGCGGGGACAGCGGGGACCGGGACAGCGGGGGCCGGGAGTGAGCCCTGCCGGGGTGGCATCGCTCCACGGGGCAGCCGGGTCGGGGGAAACGCATAAAATCCCACAGAATCCAACAATATCCTGAGTTGGAAAGGGCCCGCAAGGATCATCGAAGTCTAGCTCCTGGCCCTACACAGGACAGCCCCAAGTATTATGCCCCATGTCTGAGAGCGTTTTCCAAATGCTTCTTGAGCTCTGTCAAGCTTGGTGCTGTGATCACTTCCCCTAGGGAGCCCGTTCCAGTGCCTGACCACCTTTGATGAAGAGCCTTTTTCTGATATCCAACTTAAACCTCCCCTGATACCGCTTCATGCCATTCCTTTGGGTCCTGTTATTGGTCCCCAGAGAAGAGATCAGTGCCTGCCCCTCACGAGGAACCTGTAGACTGTGAAAAAATCTCCCCTCAGTCTCCTCCAGACTGAGCAGACCAAGTGTCCTCAGCCGCTCCTCACACGGCTTCCCCTCAAGGCCTTTCACCCTCGTGGCCCTACTTTGGATGCTTTCCAACAGCTCTGTGTATTTTTTATGTTGTGTCACCCCGAAGTACCCCCAGCACTGGAGGTGAGGCTGCCCCAGCTCAGAGCAGAGCAGGACAATCCCCTCTCCTGCCCGGCTGTGATGCTGTGCCTGATGTCCCCAGGACAGGTTTGGCCCTCCTGGCTATCAGGGCAGTGCTGGCTCATGTTCAGCTTGCCACCGACCCCCGGGTCCCTTTCCATAGCACTGCTCTCCAGCCTCGTGTTCCCCAGTCTCTCCATACATACAGGGCTGTCCCATCCCCTGTGCAGAATTCAGCACTCGCCCTTGTTAAACTTTATACAGCTCTTGTTGCACAGCTCTATTTTTTTTTTTCTGGGTTTCTCTGCAAGGCTTCTCTGCCCTTGAGGGAGTTTCGTATTACTGATAAAGTGAGATTGCCCCCCCCAGCTGATAGCACAGAAGCGGGAGAACATCTATTTTATTGTCATTCTGTCAGCATACGCTTTGTGCTGCTGCATGCCGGAACTTTGCTACGGAATTAAACACGATCTCCGTCCTGCCCATAGTTGCGACACCCACTGGTTAACGCTGTTTGACAGGCAACAATAAAAGTTGCTTTGTAATTCCAAAGTACAATAGCTGCCTGCCCATTGGAGTTTGTCACCGTGTTTAAAAGCAGAATCGGGAATTACAGACGGTTACATGTGTAAGTAACCATGTAGTTGCTACAACATAAAATTACAAAGTAATTTGAAGTACTTGATGCATTTTGCAGAATTGCAAGGCACAGGCAACAATGTAAAACAATAAAAGTACATCCACGTGGAAGGAGTTGCAGGTACATGACTACGTACGTCACATTAGAGCTACATACATACAGCACTTCAAAAGACATAAATTCAAATTTTCAATATTTAAAAATCATTTATGAATACAAGTAAGTACTAACATTATAGCCCTTAAAAGAGTCTCCTGGCAGTATATACAATTTGTTCTCCTGTGCTTTTTTCTCTTTAGGGAAGCTGCAGCCAAGGGGAAGCACGGGCTGGGTGCCAGGGCTGCCCAAAGCCCCAACTTCATAGTTCTGTGACCAGTAGGCACACAGCTATAAATTAGTTCTATTTGCTTGTTCTCATTCATTTCTCACTTCAGCCAATTATGTCAGAAAATCAACTGAACTCAAGTAATCTTGTAAATGAGTATAGCTCCAAGGGTGAATGTTCAGCCTGTATTTTGGTGCTCATTTCAATGAATTATATTGCTTTCTTGTAAATTACATGGATCATCTCCCTCTTCCTAAAGCACCTTGTAAGTTCTGCCTCACAGAAACGTATCCTTGATAACCAAATTAGTGGTGCTGATCAAGATTTTTACCCTGTGATTTTCTTATGTTACTATTTACTTTGTAGGCATTTGTACCCAAAATTATAGTTCCTCTTTGATTAACCAAAGCGTGTCCTCTCACAATAAAGTTCTGAAAGGGAGGAAATGTCAACGGTCTGATAAAAAATATAATGTTTCTTTTCCAATTGCTGTAAAAATAATAGAATTTCAATGAACTATATTGTTTTCATAGATTTGTTGAATGATTCTATTGCATTTCATAGAAGAGATTTTTTTTAATTTTTTTTGTTGTTGTTGTTAATGCAATAGGGCAATTTTAAATAAATGATACCAGGTACGATTTTCCATTATTTTCCTTTTTAAGATTTTACAATTAGAAAAATAATATTTTACATCAGTTCTGATACATTTCTCTTTACTTTGTTCATTGGCTGTATGTGTTGTCCCAAAATAGCTTCTTTCATCCCGTGTACAAGAGGCCAATCCACACAGAGAATTGAGATATTTGAATTATTTACAGTTCTGTGCAGAAAGACGTGCTGGGCAGGCAAATCCACAAAGCCAGCATAAGGACTATCAAAATTTACCATTTACATACTTTAGCAAACGAAAGCATAAATGTTAATTTGCTACAAATTTCATCGTTCTTTCATTAATTAGTCTTCTTTTGGTCAATGATTCCCTCACTTCTCATGCCAATTAGCCCACACATTCAGTCGTTCTCTTCTCTTGAGCCAGAGGGTTTCTGGGGTCGGTGGCTATCAGGGCTCTCACCCTGCCGGAATTACCTTTTACCCAGTCGGAGCTGATTTCAGCCCAGTTGCTGAGCAGGCTTTGTTAGTTTCTTCCTTATCTTGGGAAATCTGCCAGATATATTTGTGGCCCATAAAGTCTGCATTCTTTGTGTCCACTATCAGTAGCACGTCCTTGTCGCCAAGGTTTGTTAACCTCCTCCTAGGTCACTGAGGCATGTCAAGCCCTCAACTTTAACAAGACAATTCCATCGACAAGTAGCTTACTTTTTAAATATATAATAGTTGAGAGTTTTATATATATATATATATATATATATATATTAGTAATAGTATCAGCCTCCTATAATATATGAGACTTATATAATATATAAACACTATATACAAACAGCATCATTGCAAGTCTCAAAATAGATATGAGACTTATATTATTGCTATTATTAAGTCAAATTTCGGTGAGGGCACTCTCTAGGACTATGAAAAAAGCATCTCCCATATATATATATATATATATATATATATGTGTGTGTGTGTGTGTGTCTGTGTATATCCCAAGGCTTTGGACTCTCTTATGTATATATTTTATATATATATAATATATATAAAATAGATATATAACTAAACTATAATGCAAATAAATAAATAAATAAATAAATAAACCTATGGCTACAGATATATAAAATAATAAATGTACGAGTCTCTTCTCTCGGCCGCAGGGTCGCAGAGCTCCCTGAGGCTCCCGGGACGCTTTCCCGGCCGGTGCGGGCGCGCTGTCCCGCACGTGACCGGACGCGGGCCCCGCCGCTGCCCGGGCCCGGTGACGCGGGCGGGGGCGGGGCCGGCGCCTCACCGGAAGCGGCGCGTTCCCCCCGCCCGCCGCCGGCGGATCCCAGCGCGCCCGAGGCGGGCCCGGCCGCCGCCACCGCACCGCGAGGCCTCGGAGCGGCGGGCCCGGCTCCGCCGTGCGCCGGCAGGTGCTGGGGGAGGGCGGCGGGAGAGGCTCCGCGTCCGGCCGGGCGGAGGCGGGCGCAGCGGGGCCGGCCGGTGGCGGGCCTGGCTGCGTGCGGTGTGTGTGAGGGACGGGCAGCGCATCCCTGTCCTCCCGAGGGCTCCGCGGCTCGGGGGAATTGTATCCGCAGGTTCTTTAGAGCCCGCGCAGGGTGTAGGAGCGGTGCGAGGTGAGGCAGGCAGGGTGTTGCTCCCCAAGGCAGGGAGAGCACAATGCAATGCAAGGTTATTGCTTAACTGGAGCGGGGGAGAGCTGCTTCCCACTTCTTGCAGGAAATGAGTACGTGCGGGGTTGTTATTGCGCTTAAAAAATCAGCGTCTACTCGACTGATAATTTTCTTGATTATGGTTTTATTTTTCTTTGACAGCAAAACTTCCCCATTATCTTGTTTTCCGGACTTCTGAGCATCTAAACGTAGTATAAAAAATACTGTCTGTAACTGTGTAACTGCCTCTTCCACTTCAAAGGAACGGCATGTTCTGCAGAACCTGTTCCTTTACAGTGCTCACTGACCCCTTAGGTTTCATAAATGAGAACAAGATAAATGCTAAAAAAGAAGTTATTTCCAGGCCACGAGTGTTGGCATTGTTTGTTCCTAAAAGCTTTTTCTCACACCTTTTTTTTTTTTTCCTAGAATGAATGTTTTCATTTCTTTATTATCAAACTTATATAGTACTATGGATTTTTTTATTCTTTCTGTTCAGGAGTCATCTATTTGTTAAGATTTTTTTTCCTACTTTTAATTTTCATCTACTTTGATTTAGGAAATCCTTTTGGACTTTTTAACACATCTTGATCAGGAGCAAAATTCTGTGTTTTTCTCAGTGGCACATATAAGGCTTTTATGTTGGCCTACAGGAGCATTAACTAAATCCTTGGCAACTTCAGGTATGAAAGCTGCCCGACCTCTGCAGAGGGTAGTTTATCACTTCGGGCTACACACAGGCTCTTAAGAACTGTTGGGGTTGTTTTGGCAGTCAACCTTTGGACAGCCCTCTCTAACTTAAAATGCTGTGTTTCTTTTGATCATGTTGGAGGATAAGGTGGCTGTGTTGCCAGACTTGCATTATCATTTTACCCTTGGCTAGTTCTCTAGTGCTTCCTGGGTTTGTTTGGTTGATATTTTTTGTTGTTGTTGTTGTTGAAGGTCATAACACTAATTTACACTCCAGGTGAGGATGGAACTTGAAAATGTCATGGAAACCCAAACTAAAATCGTTTTAACTTCTGAAAAAAAAACAAAAAATGAACTCTGAAGTATTTGGCACTAATGCCTACTACTGTATCTTGGTAATATGGTTTGCTTCTAGCCATAATCTTAGTTTTATATAATTTAGTTTCATGGCTACCTGCAAGTTGTGTACCTTATTTTTCTCACTCAATTATAGAACTTTTTGACGGTGCTTTTTAGTGTTCTCTTGCAAAAACAAAGTGTTTTGTTGTAATGTAATAATTGGAAACTAAATTTGTTTTGTCTGTGTTTAGTTTCAATTTACAGGAGCATTTTGTGGATGTTGGTTTCTCTGTTAGTCCACAGAGATATAATTTAATGTTTTGTATCACCGCTGTATATGTGGAGTAGAAGTAATTGCATCTGTTTGAGATGTTTAGTGTTTGTGTCTTCTCCTGTGTTGGCTAAGTGACCATTACAGACCAGTCATGACAGATTAAAAGGTGATTCAACAAGGTCAGCAGTTTCTCATCTGCTCTTCTTTGGAGTGTTGAGCACAGTTGTCTGATGGTTTCTTATAAAAATAACACAAGTGTGGAGTATAATAAAACTGCATGGATTGTTTTTCAAACAGTATTATCTGCTTCATAAATTGCATCTGTCCCTTGATGGTGCTTGATTGCAGAAGGGTGGATATAGTTTGTAGAATAAATATTAGAAGTGCTGATTAGCACTTAAAGACAGACTTGTGGAATTACTGTGGTAGTGAAAAACAGAAACATTCTGAATTTCTGTGATACTGCATTTTGAGCTTAATGAATGCTTTATGGGCCATGCTCTCTGCATATGTTTTAAAAAATAAAACAAGCTACAGACCCAAACCAACAACTTCTATTACGAGTTGGATGATTCCTTGTATAGGTTATTATTTAATTGGCTTGGAAAGTATATATTCCTGACTTCTGGAGACTAAGGAATGTAAAATATGTGTTAAAATGGAGTATACCTGTGACATTTTGTGAAAAGGCTGTGTATTACTAGGCCTACAGTGGAGTGTAAAGCAGCATGTTGACTAGTAGCACTAAATGCCTTGTGGCCTCTCATGAAATCTAAGACCTGAAGCTTGTCTGTTTTCATGTGCAGGTGATAGAAACCTGTGCATGACAGGCTTATAAGTAACTAAGTACTGGAAATAACCTCTTATTGTGCCAGTGTCTGAGAGAGTCAATAACGTGCTGGTTACTTGTGGAGAAAGCATCACTTCAGACTAGCTGGGTGCTGTTGTGGATCTGTTTCAGAATAAGTCAGAAGCGGAAGCATACAATTTGATTAATTTCTGTGGTTATTAATGTGCTTGCTCTGGCTTGTGTAGTCAGGTTAGAAATAGAGTACAGACTATTAAAAAATGCAGTAGTTAAGTTTTTGTATCAGTGAATGTTAAATTGCTGTCTCTGATACTTGGCTCTATGTGCAGAGGTGAATAGTAGTGGTTTTTTTTCTCTTTAATTAGATCACCCGGAAGACACGATGAGTGTTAAAGCTTTCAAGCTCGTTTCTGCTGTTGAGCGGGAGATGTTAATGGGAGACAAAAATTACATCAACATCGAGTGCATTGAGTGTTGTGGGAAAAACCTCTATATTGGAACCAATGACTGCTTTATCTATCACTTTCTGTTGGATGAAAAGGTGTCGACAGCTGGAAAAATAACTTTTGCTGCCACCAAGCAACTACACAAATACCTGGGTTTGAAGAAGCCTGTGAGCGAGTTGAAAGCAGCCTCTGCCCTCACCAGACTGCTTGTGCTTTGTGACAACACGATAACACTAGTGAACATGATCAACTTGGAACCTGTCCCCACTGGTGCTAGGATCAAAGGAGCTGTGACATTCACACTGAATGAAAACCCTGTGAGTGGGGATCCTTTCTGCGTTGAAGTTTGCATTATCTCGGTCAAGCGTCGGACCATTCAAATGTTCATGGTGTTTGAAGACAGAGTCCAGATAGTGAAGGAAGTGTTTACTCCAGAGCAGCCCTGTGCTGTGGCTGTAGATGGTTATTACTTATGCCTTGCCCTTACTACACAGTATATAATTTTGAATTATAATACTGGCGTCTCCCAGGACCTATTTCCTTATTGCAGTGATGAGAAACGGCCAATTGTGAAACGAATAGGCAGACAAGAGTTTCTGTTGGCTGGCCCCGGAGGCCTAGGTGAGACTAAGGATTTAAATTTTTTGCAATTTTTTAAACTTTCTTTATTTATCTGAATTTCTGAAGCAAAGTTTTATTACTTAAATGTTATGCATAATAATGATGCTTTCCTTCACAGGTCTATATTGGAATGCTGAGATAAAGAGGGGGATGGTAAATTTTTGATACTTAGTACTATTATAACTCTGTAATACTGTTATAACTATAAAAACCTACACTAAGTGTTTTTTAATGCACAAGATTTTATGATTATTTTTATTCTAATCATGTTCTATTTTAATCAAAGCTTCATTTCATTGTATCTTGCAGCCCTTAGCAAAAAAAATTGTTGGGTACCAAGTGAAATTTCAGAGATTGGTAGACAGTGTGTAGTGACTAGGGGGACTGGGTTTGTGGAGCCTCACATTGCTACAAAATTGTTCAATTAGTGTAGATGAATTATTTTTTTCCTCAGTTGCTGTTCAAAGGAGCTCATATGAAGTCCATTTTATAGGTTTTAACAGATTCACAAGAAGGTATGTTGTACTACAGAGTTAGTAAGAAATTTCAGTGGAAGTAAGTTGCATCCTAACTCCCGTAATAGTAAATGCTGTCCTAACTGTAGGTGTTACCAGATACTAGTTTTTATGCTCCCATATGCTTAATATTTTTAGTAGTATTTTATGTTACAGAAAATGATTGGTTTTGCAATACTTAAACTATGTTAGATCATGTGAAATCGTACTCTTATCTAAGAGATGACTGTAAGGACTACTGTAATCTGTCTAAATCGACAATATGCTGTGAGGTCAGTAATCTTGAGCTTTTTTTTGGAAAAGCTACATCACAGAGCTGACAGACCACAGGCAGAATGCTTTCATGCTGTTTGCCATATGACTCTCCTTTCAGGAGACACGGTTTATGTATTTTCTCTGAAACTTTAGCATGGCACAAAGTTCACAGCTATTCAGGGCCATAATTTGGGTTTTGACTTTTTAATACAAATTCAAAGAAAATCAAGCGTGCAATATAAATACCAAAGAAAATCAGTTGCTTATATTGAAGTTTTGCTTTGTGACCAGAATGCAAGATGTACATCAACTCACCAGCTTTTCTCTAAAGTAGACTCTCAGTAAAATTTGAGTTTATGTGAGTTAAAGATGTTCCAAGATGAACTTTTTTTTTTTTGTTTTTTTTTTTTTTTTAGGTACAGGGCTTTTCTAAATAATTTTCACTGCCCACTTCCTATTAAAGCCCTTAGTTGTTTTAAATATGGACATTATTTTTGGACATTTACTGTTTTAGTAGTGCTAGGGAAGTTAAAATTTGAAAATTGACTGGTTTTGTGAGAAGATTCTATTTTTACTTTAATTTTAAAAAAAATTTTAGGCATGTCAAGACAGATTCCATTCAAGTAATTTCTCTTTTTTTTTTCATTTTCTTTAAGAATATAATTTCAAAAGCATAATTATACTTAATTAGGAATCGGAATTTTATTTAGTCTGACTTTTGCTTTTGTCTGGTGTACTGTAAGAGAGATACATGAAAAGAAGGTTACTTATGAAGTCCAGCATCCTTGTGTAAGTAGAGTGTCCTGGGGTTAGAATGTCAGGTGTAGGAGATCTTAAGCAAGTGCACTTCTGCTGCTGTAAACATGCTATAAACCACTCTTTTCCTCATGATACAAGCATTCTTTCTTGTACTGCCTCAGAGACCGTCTAGAGTATTTGCTGTCAACTGTATAGTTTCTTCTTGTTTAATTAATCTTTTTTTTAGCTCTTTTTCTCTATTCCCTCCCCACTGATATTTTGACTTAGTATATCCATCTTGCTGGTCCTGCTTGGTAGAATTCCTAGTGTCTTTAATACTTGTTTCTGATGTTATGAAGATGGTTGGGCACCTTCATAATAGATAAGCACTGTGCATCTTGGTATCTCAGGTGGGCCTCTGCTGTGGAATGCATGGATTTGAAGAGGCTTGATGTAAAACCTCAGTTCTAATTTTGATTTGCTTTTGTATGTCTCATTAATCAGGGCATGGTGGTTTGGCACTCGGTAGAGCATCTATGCTAAGTTCAGCCTCTTTTACAGAGGTGGAGATATTCTGCACTAATGTATTTAACTTTAGAGTGTTTTTGAGTTAAGACTGGAATTTAGATTGTCAAAAAGCAAGTGCTCAAAATGATAAAGTAAAACATTTCTGAGTTTACTGTGTATATAACCTTTTTCTTTATCTGGACACTGGATTTTAAACTGACTGTTAGAATTGTTCATAGCAGATCCTCAGCCTCAAAAGTACTTCATTTGGTACTTTGTTGTCTTTGCTTGCAGTTAGTGTTTAGCTCGTTCTTTCAAAAGGAGGAGGAACTTCATTTTTGGTGCTTGTTCATTCTCTCTGGTAATTCATTAATTTACAATTGAAAATCAGTTATTTCTGGTGTATATGAAACTGCTTACCAAAATTCAGTTTTTGAGTTTGTGAAGCCTGGTTACATGTTTTTAATCAGATTTCCTACTGTACAGAGGCTTTAAGTGTTTAAAATTACTGCAGATACTTCTTAATAATATTTGGCACAGGATATGCTTCCCAGCACCAGATGGAGCAATGGCTCCAAAAGGTCTGAAGTGTTGACTCAGGCTGAGCTCCCAATGGCGGGTGAAGCTCCTCACACCTTGAGCTGAACAAAGTGCCTCCTGCCTCTTGCTGAGACTGGACCAAGTAAAAATGTTGTTCTTGCCCATGGGAGATGTGTGCTTGGTTGAGGATTTATGTTGCTAAGTAAATGAAATGCAGTAGGAGGTCTGCAGAGTACATGGCACCAGAGATGGCAAATAGGAAATTGAATCTTATCCAGCAACCAGGCATGAGCCTTCAATCTCCAGCTGTACAGAGGGGAAGGACAGGCTGAGTCTCTGCTGTTCTGTGATGGCCAACACTGGAAGAATTCATAACTTGAAGAATTCTCCTTCTCTGCTTGCTGATCTACATCTTTATAATATGCTCGGTGCTTACAGTAACAGAAGAAAAGCAGGAAGTGCTGTCCAACAAATCATCCAAGCCTGTACAATGCAGTAGCAGCAGGAGGAATTAGTAAATAATAGTAGTGAGAGACTCCCTTATATTGGAGATAGGGGTTTTCTCATCAATCCTGCTGGTAAGGAAGAATACCTTGAGGAGGAATACCTGGATTGTGCACATCACCAACTGATTGTACAGTTTGTGGTGATGAGTTTTGTCTTTTAGGACTATGGATCCCTATTTAAGGAAGAGATGGGATCCACTAGGTCAAGTAAGGCAAAAGCATTTTTGCCAACTTGACTGAGCAACATGGTGAGTTGGATTTAGATTAGGCGTGGTGGTGGTGGTGGTAGGCTGTGTTGGCAAAAAAAACATTGCAAGATGGTGTGATAAGAGACATCATAAGCACAAAGAGAGCTGAAGGAATTCTACTTCAGGCATATGCAGAGAAAGAAGTCTTTACAAAACATCATGGTAGTGGAAGCTCTCTCACTTTTTCCAGGAAATCAGCACAGCTGTGTTTTAACAGCTGAGATGGGGGTTACCCTTTACATGGGAGCAATAGGAAGATATGATGGGGTGCCTTGAAACAAAGGAGGAGGCAAATGAGAGTTTATGGATTTGGGTTAGAGAGCAAACTAGCATGGGTGAACAAAATTATTGTGGTGAGTGCCTGGGACAGACTATTTCATCGGGGAAAAGATGTAGGCAAGACCTTTAGGGAGCAGGAAGAAATCTACATTTGCAGACCCTGGTTTTTAGGGTACACTTGTACCACTCCAGTATCTGCTTGAGGGGCAGCACAGCAGGAGACAAGCAGGCCAGGAGTTTTCTGGAGTGTGTTGATGGTGGCTGAGGAGATGATGAAGGGATGTGCTCTGTTGAACATCAATGTCTTATCAACGTTGTTCTCCTACTGAATCCAAAACACCAGCTGCTAAGAAGAAAATTAACTCTATCCAAGACCAGGGCAGAGGCCAATGTCCATCTGGCATTGACTCTGCTGAACACTTTGTAGGGCAGCCAAAGAGCTTTTACAAGCATTTCAGCAGCACAGGAAGGCTAATGGAAGCCTACTGTTAAATGGGGCAGAGGACCTGAGGCCAAAGGGCATGGAAAAGGCTGAGGTGCTTAATGCCTTCTTTACATCAGTCTACTGGTATGACCTTCTTTCAGGAATCATCAGCCCTTAGGAACAGTGGGAAAATCTGGAGCAACAAAAACCTGCCCTCAGCAGAGAAGGATTACATTATGGAATAGTTAAATAAACTGGACAGACAAGTCTATGGGACCTGGTGGGATGTTTTCATGAATGCTTGAGGGTGATGGTCAATGTCATTGTGAGGCCAATTTATTATCTTTGAAAGGTCATGATGATCAGAGGCTGTTCCTCAGGACTGGAAGAAAACAAATGTTTTCACTCCTGCCTTAGGTGATCAAGAGAAAGGAACCAGGGAAGTATAGCTGGCCGTACCCTGATCCTCAGGAAGGGGATCTGAGAAAATCCTGGAAGCTGTTTCCAAATATACAAAGGGCAAGAATGAGATTTGAAGTAATCCATGTGGATTTAAATAGGGAAAATTGCCTGACCAGACTGTCTTCTGTGATTAGACACCAGCTTGGTGAATGAGGGGAGAGCTGTGATCCTGTGAAGTTCAGCAAGGCTTTGACACTCTCTGCCATGACATCCTTTGTAGACAAACAGATGAAGAATGAGCTGGAGAAACAGTTGAGGTGGATTGAAAGCTTGGCTGAAAAATCTGCAGTCAGCAGAGCAGAGTGCAGCTGGAAGCCAGTCACTAGTCTTGTACTCCAGGGGGCCAATGCTAGGTCAATACTAACATCATTTTAACAACATGGCTGGTAGGGAAGGGCACACCTTCACAAATTTACAGATGATACAAAACATTTCTATATCTCTTGATGCTGCAAACAGTGTAGCTTTGTTTTGGGTAACTCTTGTAGTCCTTGGGTAGCCTGTGCAATTTTTAATATGGAATTGATTGCTGGCCTCATCTCAAGTTTCATCAGTTGCATCCCTGTACTACAAAAAGGCTGTGGTTTCTGGCTGTAGTTATGTTTATTGTTATCCTTAGGTGGGAGCTGGATGAAGACAGATAATGCATCATTCTGCCACAGAAGCCCTAGCTATTGAAGGCAGAGGGATATAGGGAGACATTGACTTGAATGCATACATTTTCACTTCCATAAAGGATTTTTTTCATTACCTAAAAAAGAGCTTTTTAATTTAAAAATATGAGGTTTATAATTATTTGTGTTAGAACACCACAGAAATAGAAAACATAAGAATTAGTCTTTCAAATATAATAAGCCCTAAGTTTACTACTGCTTAGTATGTATTTAGTACAGGTTTTCTCCCACATTTTGAAGTGGGATTATATCATGGAATAACAACTGAAAGCCTTTAAAACTGGACAGTACATTTTGCCTGACATAAAATCTTACTTTGGAGTCATAAGAATATCAAGATCTATAGAGTAAATTAGGAATTATATATTGCCACCTAGAAAGTATTTTCTGTAAGGTGCTCTGATTGAAAAGCTGATCATTGTAGTGAAAAAGAACCCTTAGTCAAAGGGATGATCATTTGAAAGCTGCTACTGTAAGGGGTCCAAAAGCTTGGTCTCTACACTGTAGTTCTGTAAAAGTCTACAACCTTCTGTTTTGTTTTCTCTGTTTTCCCTTTTTTTTTTTTTTTTTTTTTTCTTCATTCCAAGAAGGTCCTTGTACCCAGCTCGCCTTGCCTCATTATCCTCTGTTTGGAAGAGATTTTGCAAATTGAATAACGTAATCTTTTAATCTCTTCTGTTCTTTAGAGCTCAGATTTACTCTGCCAGCTGTCAAGTGGCTCAGTGCTGCCAAAGATCAATTTTCATGGGCATGTCTTTTTAATGGCATGAGAGGTTTAAGGGGTATAAATTCATATTTAGAACAGAAGTTTACACTGTGCTGGTGAATCTGTATGCAACTAGGCCTGAAAATTGTGACTGAAATTTCTCTTCAATTAATTTTGAATTTCTCTTCTCTCTGGGAATTACTTGTGACTGAAAATTCTCTGCAGAATTGGGAAATATCAAGTAGCATGAATAGAACCAGTGGCATGCGGTTCTAAAGCAATTTAAAAGTCTATTAAGCTAGGAGAAGAATGAAGGACAGAATAGACATGAGGAAAGGTAATGACAAAAACTCACCCTGCAAATTGACTGAAGCTTTAGTCTGGTTGTTCTGAAGACAGCACAAGAGTTACCACTGGGATAATAGAAAGTCTTTGCTCTGTGCTGCTTTATACACAGCCTCTGCATTTTTTCAAATGATTGAGAACGCAGGTGCTTTGTAGGAAGTGACTCATCCCAAGGAGCTGGACCTTTGTTCTCTGAAAATGTTGGCTGTAGCAAAAGTGAAAAAGTATAAGTAAACAATTGTGTCCACTAAAATGCTCTTTAGATATTGGACACTATAAGAACAGACACATCTGCATTGCCAGATAGGTCAGGTGGTGCAGGTCTGCAGCTCCTACTAAGGCAAGATTGTCTGAAAATTGAGTCTCAAGAAGTGTTACTGTTCTGAAATGAATTCAAACTACATGTTAGAATTCCTTTAAGAAAGCTTTTAAACTTAGTAAATTTGAATAATTCTTGCTAGTTTGTTCCAGTATTCATTTCTTCTCAGTTTTTGGCATTGTCTGTTCCTGTGCTGAAGGAGAATGAAAAAAAAAATTGGACTGAATTAACCAGTATCTGTCAGGTCCAGGGAGGTGTGATGTGTTGTCATCATGCTGCCTGATACTGTACCTGCTCTGAGACTTTCCACTGCTGTACCTGGGTACCCAGGCTTTGTGCTGGGAAAACAACAGTCTTCACCTAGCACGAGCCTCAGGCTTTGTTTTTCCTTTTTTGTAGGCATGTTTGCTACTGTAGATGGGATTTCACAGCGTGCCCCAGTGCACTGGTCAGAGAATGTGATTGGGGCAGCTTTGTGCTTTCCTTACGTGGTTGCTCTCGATGATGAGTTCATTACGGTGCACAGCATGCTGGACCAGCAGCAAAAGCAAACCCTGCCTTTTAAAGAAGGTCACATTCTACAGGACTTTGAAGGTATAGAAAAGGACACTTTGTTGCATCAGTAATTCTGGAACACCCGCTGGAGTCACTTGGGTTTGTTTTTTAAACAAAGTATCTAACAAGTATGTTGACTGTTGAAACTTATTTGCAAATACTTTCCTGGTTACATTCCTTGCAGACTTCAGTAATACAGAATTCTATGCTTCTAACAAAATGTATGCTCATGTGCTGTAATTGTCAAGTTAATTGTTGGGTAGGAGTCTATGTAGTTAGAGCTTTTTCGTAACCTGATTATTTCTTTCAAAGGAGCAATGTTTATTTAATGCTACAGGTCAGTAATTGTGACCTACAGGTATTTGTCCATTAACTATTCTGACAAAATTCTTACATATTAGAAAGAAATACAAAAGAAAAATAATTTTAAAAAAATCTGTGTATGAGGTTTAAATTGGATCTTTCTCATAGAAAAGTACTTCTTTCCCCCCCTCCCCCCCCCCCAGGAAAGCCACAAACTAGCACTGTGATCTTTAGATTACTTGCTAGATTTGATGTTTGGCTTAGTTAAAAGTTCCTGCTCTCCGGAATCTGGACAATAATTTCAGTGGCCTTACCAGCTTAGTTCATAATAAGTGATTCTAGGCAATTTCTCTTACTTCAAGTGGAACAAAATCTGCTGTAACTAAATAAATTTACCATTATCTCTATATTTCTGAGGTGGAATTCATAGGTAAACTGCACTATCGAGTAAATGTGGTAGCAGCAAAGGTAATTTTTGGGGCTTTGACACTGTTTAGGTTCTTGTGTCTTAAATTGTGTATTTTAAAGCTTATTTCTGAAATTGCTTTTCTCTGTAGAGGCTGTAAATTAAATATATCTGTTTGTTCTGTCTAGGAAAGGTGATTGTTGCTACTAACAAGGGTGTGTATATTTTGGTGCCACTACCTTTGGAAAAACAGATTCAGGATCTTCTAGCTAGCCACAGAGTGGAAGAAGCCCTTGTTCTAGCAAAAGGAGCTCGAAGGAATATTCCAAAAGAGAAATTTCAGGTCTGTCCTTCCTTTCAATTTTCATCAAAATGTAAATTTCACAGTGGGGTCATGTATTCCATTGGTCAAGCAATTAGAGAGGTGGGGGAGGAATTTACATTGCAGAGAAGTTCCAATACCTTTTATGATTTCAGCCTGAGGAAATAGGCATTCTGCAAAATTGTTTTGCACTTGTGGAAGCTGTAACATTGGCAGGGTTGAATGCTGTTGTTCTGCGGTTTTGTTGAATTTTTTCAAGTGTGTAACTTGAGAGAATTGAAAACAAAACAAAACCAGAAACCTAAGGGCAGAAAACCCAATGGATGCTTCTTTAGTACTAGATTCAGTTATTATTTGCTATTGCTGTTTAAAAATGTATACTTTTTTCAATTTAGAATTTTGAAATTTTACTTTTTTGATCAAAGATTCTCACCATATCCTAAACTTCACAATAGCACTTAACTTCAAAGTTAAGTGGTGGGAAATCTTAAGCAAATGCATCTTGCTTCCAAGGTCTTGCAAGTAATGCTTGTACTGCTGTGTAACTCAGTTTTAAAGGTTATTGTGTTGAAGTGTCTTACAAACTCTTTGATTACAGTGTTGATTAAAGATTTGTGCTCCTTTCCTTCTATGTCTGATTTATATTGCCATATATATTCTACTGTATTTGGTCGTATTTAGAGACATGTAAAAAGTAGCATGATATCTCTACTCGTGGAGTGGGTGAACTAAAATTTAACTTAGTTTCTTTCCTATGGTAAAAGCAAAATTTGATCTGTAACCTGCAGAAAAGCTGTATTTTTGCTTTTTTTTTTAATACTCCTTGGAGCATTTTGTTGCCATTAAAACAGTTGTGTTACTTTTGGCTTGTTTAGGATGGTGTAAAGTTTGAAACACAACTCGAAGTTACAGGATTGCAATGGTTCAAAATTATTCTGTCAGGATTTTTTAAATTTTTTTTTTAATTTTAAGAAGCTTCTAATTCCTTTTCACTTCAGTTTTGGTCAAGGCCCTTGAAAGGCAGTCATTAAATGAAACTTGTATCAGCTTTCATTTTGATCCTTAACTCCTCTCTTGAATAAGCAGCTGGTAGACTGCTGGAATTAAAAAGCTTGTTGAGAAAATTGTTCCCATCCTTTTTTGAAGGTTCAACTACCTGAAAGTACTTGAAGTTGGAAAGTATTTAGGCAAATAGAGAGTTCCGTTTCCAGCATGTTTTGCTTTACATCTTCACTTCCTACTTTTCCCTTCCAATCTGTTTAAAGAAGCAAACAAAAATCTTGCTATGAGGGCAGGATGCATGATCTAATCAATGTCTTCTATGTGTGATGACCTATAATTTTCCAACTATTTCTTTACAATTTATGTAGACTTAGTGTCAGAGATGACTTTCTGTGCTTTGCCACAGGATGAAACTATAATTCATTATCTAAAATACATGATGTAGAGTTTCAGTCCTTCTCAAGTTTTCTTGGATTTAGTATTTTTCAGCCTTTAAAATATGTTACTTTCTTTTCACAAATATCTTAAGTGCACAGGGTTGGTCTTCCTGAAATTAGTTTCCTAGAATATTGTAAGTTCTTTCTAACTCAGTGTGTTTTTAAGGGTGTTCAGTTGCTTTAATTCAATGCTACAGCTGAAAACCAGAAAACAGTACTTGCAAGCAAAATAGCCTGTTCTGTTTCTGGGGTGTATTTGCCAACTGATATTAACCAATTATCAAATTCTTGAGTTGGAATTTCCCACTGTTTTAATTCATATTAAAATGACTCAGCTTAACTTTGTTGAGAGATTACTCCAGTTTTTCAGAACTTGTCTGTAGCTGGAAATGTAACATGTTGAGGTTTGCTTTCTAAGGTGACTGATACCTAATTGTTGTCATTACAAGTTTGTTACAGGCCATCAGACTTTCTTTACTGTAGTATTGTGTAATATAAGTCTGATGGACCTCAACCAAATTGCATGCCTTACATATGTTTTTGCAGCATTTCTTTGACATACTTTAACTGATCACACAGTCATTCATTTCTAACTCCTTTCTGAGAGCTATCCTCAGATAATGCATATCTATTAGAAAATTGTTATTTTCTAATAGGTATCTTCTGGTATCTGTTTTGCAAGCATTACTGAATCCTGAGCAGCAGACACTTCAAAGGCCTTATTTTGCCATTTTGTACAAGCAGTAGCATGGAGTGCATAGGGTTGGCATTAAGGCATTTGATCCAGCCACTATAATCTATCCATACATAAGAGTGATTATTGTTGTCTGGTTTATGAAGTATAGTGTTCCCTTTGTCACAGGATGCTTTAGTTCTGCAGTTTGCAATGGCTGAGATGTGTCACTTGAACTAAGGGCACTGCAGGGCAGATTTTGAGGACATGGATTTTTTTTCCCTACAGTTCAGTGCTTTGTTGTATGCATATGTGGGTGCATGCTCTCCCTCTGTATAACAGCATAAATATATATGTATATGTATGCTGGTAATGCAGAGTGATGGTGGAATAGCAACACTGAGTACTGTACTCTCAGAATTGTTTGTAGAGTCAGTATTTAGATATTGAAAAGTAGCAGGTCATGCCTTAGGAGCTCTAACCTGATATTTAACTTGTGGTCCCTGCAGACTGCAAATAAAGCTTTGCCATAACAGATGAAAATTTCTTTGTTGTTGAGCATCAGGAATTCCTGCTAGGTAAGAAACACTAAGCAAAAGTGTTCCAGGGAGATGATTCTGCTGGATAGAATTTTTGATAGAAGAATACAAAGGCTTTTCTACCATGCTACCATGAAATGACTGAATACTACTTATTAATTTTTCAGGACAGCTGACGTTTGCAGAAATCATGGTTGATGGTAGTGAAGACCTTGGTTAGATTGACACACATCTTGCATAGGTATCTCCTTTTTTTTTTTTTTTTTTCCTTCCTAATTCTTTTTAGCTTCAAAAAACTTATTAACTGCACCCAAATTTGAGCAAAAGACAAAGTGGCTTTCTAGAAAAATTCCTTTGGACAATGTAGTTGGTAATTCTGAGCATTTTAGAAAGGATTTTTTTTTTTTTTCTTTTTTAGTGGTTGAGAGAATTAAGACTTCACTACAGCAAACACAGCTTCAGCAGTTACCTTGCTTTTTCAGATATGAATTAATATAAAACTTATGTCCTGTTTTTGTAGTGACTTTTTAATATGAATAATTTTTAATGTGAATTCAGTCAACAGTGCAGAATTTGCCTAAAGAATTGCAAGTCCTATGGTAGTTCTTCAGAAATTATAATGGACTAAACAATGTGTTGAATTTTGACTGGGTGTAGCTTAGTACCTTTTTAAAAGAAGCTTGTTCCAGATCTGACAAAAAAAAAAAACCTGAAAGTTCTTTTTCCGTCATAAACTGAATTTGTGTGTTTGACGTGCAGATCTAGCCCATTCGTAAAAATATGTGAGAAAGGGAATATTGTATTTTCCGTAATATGTTCTGTTTTCTTCCATAATCTTTACTCTAGGACATCTTAATATCTAGTGTTTATATTGTCAGCTAAAAATCTACCTGGATACTGTCTATCTCATCATTGCATCTTAAAAAAGTTCAGAAAGTGTCTGTCTGTAGATATTCTACAATTTTTTGTTGCATGTCTTTAAGGGAGAATTGAAGATAATGTCAACATTTGAATGAAAGTGAATACCACTTTATCAGTTCAAATTTAAATCTGATTCCTTCAGCCTATAGTTACACTATCAGTGAGCTCTTTTCCCCTTTTTGTTAAAAAGATGCTGTACAGACTAAGCTCTGCAATTAAAGCTGTGCTTTCAATGAGATTAATTCAAACTTTATTACAATACCATAATTGACTAAATATGTAAATTTTAGTGATCACTCTATTGCAAAATTTGAGAACACATTTTGGGGTGGAAAAATCCCCAGCCTATCTACTTTTGGTACTAGTCAGTGGGGTGAAAAGTCTTTCTCTGGAAAGTCAGGCTGGATTTTAACGTTTTTCTGCTGCCATGAGATGCAAATATTTGCAGAATTAAATCCCTCAGCAATGTCCATAGGAAGGTGACCAGGTGGGTATTCATTGGTTCACAGATTACTGTGTATTGATGTAATAACACTGTCAGAAATCCAAAATATTGTGGCTATTTTTTGATTCAATCCCCTAAAGAAGTTTTACTTTGTAAGTCTAATTAAATTCTCTTTTAGCTTTAGTTAACTCTATTTTTTATAGTTGCACTTGAATGTAAAGAGTTAGTTAATATAAAGTTGTCATGAAGTATTGTTTGTTTAATTTTTTGTTATATTTGTCTGAAAAACCATGCCTGATTACATTTATCTCTGGTTCCCCTTTTCTCCTATACACTTGCAAGGCAAAAAAAGCTCACACACTTACAAAGCATTTTAGAGACTTGCTAACAAGAGACATTAAGTATTTCCATTAGACAAACCATTAGTAAAGCATGCACAGACTAGGTGGACTGAAGCCAAGCTTTTCTTTGGTAAATCCATAACCTTTAATCAAGGTGAAAAATCATCAGTCAGAGTATCAGTCAGCTGTGCTTGATGCTCTTCAGCAATTCCTTCCTGGAATACATTCCTGTTGTATTGTAGTTTCTCTGGGTATTTTTATTGGAAATGGTTTTTTAAGCCTTATATTAGTAACAGCCTTCATGTACAGTGTGAAACATTAGACAGCTGTGTATTAATGAGTGAATTGAAGGGAAAAACTGAGGACATGAGAAGGTAGCTGAGTGTATTTGCCAAAATGCCAGTGTTGTCACAAATTGGAATGCTCTGCAGAGCACAGTTGAGGTTCCTTGCTTTTAATACTTCTCTTTTGCTGTTGAAAATATTCTGAGCAAAGGGATTTTAATTCATCTTGTAATTGGTAGTTGATTGACCATTCAAATTTAATAACTACCTATCATTTAAAGTAGTTTTTGTGTTTTCTTTCAACTGAGCTTCATTTAAACATTTTCTGTCTAGATGTGACCTTAACAGTAAAGCCTGATAACAAATAGCTTCCATATTATGGTTTACTTGGTTTTTAACCATATTTTTATGGAACATTGCTTAATGTACTGCATATTGGGTAGGTTGAGCTGTTTTGGAAGAATGTTTTATTAAAAAAAAAAAAAAATCAAAGTAGCAAAATTGGCAGAAAGTCAAAAATGTGGCCATCAGCTGGGGATGAGACTATGAGAATTCACAGCAATTTTGCACCAGAGAGATGAGACAGGAAGAAAGTGTCTGTGTGTGGTCAAGTGGGGCCGTCTTTATTTTTTGCACTTACTGAATCGTGGGGAGCTTCAAAGATAACCATTGGCTTTTATGTTTGCAAATAACTCAAGAAAAAGCTTGAGGCAAGTCAGTGTGATGCCAGATAAGTCATTATTTGAACAAGAAAACTTGCTGTTTGTTGACTTTGCTTTTAGTAAGTACTCATGAGCAGTGTTGTGTTCATACACTTTGTGTAAGAAACTGAGTCTGGCCAGCAGATTCAGTATATTCGGGTACATAATTTTAAAATATAGAGGATCAAGGTTTATTTTGCTTGTGACTTGTCAGGTGTGGCTGAAGATCATTTGTTTGGCGTTTTTTGGCAGGTAGCTATTGCAGTACTAACTAGCACTACGTAAATACAAATATAATAAACCTTTTTTCCCCCTCCTTCTTTTTTATAGGTAATGTACAAACGAATCCTGCAGCAAGCAGGTTTTATACAGTTTGCACAGCTTCAGTTCCTTGAAGCAAAAGAACTCTTCAGGTAATTGTGTGACAAGAAATTTTAATAATTTACCTTCTTTGAAAAAGGAGTTAGTGTTCTTGGTTTGAAAAATTTAGTTGCTTTAATGTTTTTTGATGTAGATGTGAGTTCGGTGTAATAAAATGGTTTTGTTGGGGTTAAGAAGAGAGTAATGTTGAAGCAACTTTTTAGCTGAAGAGTTAATGCAACTGATTTTTTTTGGGAGATGCTAACACATGCATTAAGAATTTGAGTGTTGTAGGTATGGAGGTTTTTTTACTTTATGCTTATGAAGGTCAAGGCTTTATCACTGAGTCTGTGCTGTGATTTACAGAATAAACATTGCTTTGTTCTTTTTATTTTTAATACTTTTGTTAAGAGGTATAATATAAATATTAGTTACAACGTAAATATTATTGACAAAATGGCACTAATTTTTATGAGGATGCTGATACTGAATTTGCTTTAATACTTGTTCTGCTAGACCTTTTCCAGAAGACAGATTTGTTCCTGAAGTGTGTACTAACCTTGCCGATTTAGCCATTTCAGCAGTCACTTGTTTATAAATTGACCTTGATATTTCACTTTCATTCAGAAAATGCTGCTTGTTATCTCTTTCCTACCTGATAATTTCATTTCTGCTAGCCATGCCTCAGTCTGTGATGCGGCACTGTCTGTAGTTAGTGGAATGTATGCTGACCATATAAAATAACTCTCCTTGTTACCTGCTGAAATTCACTTTAAATCAGTTTAGAGTCTATGAAATAGGATTAAGGCTAGACAATTTTCAATTGTAAGCGTATTTACAGTGTAGGAAAAGAGTTGTCCTTGGATTTATGGAAATGCATTGAGGAAAGTAAAGCTTTGAGGAATGTTGCTATTGGAGAAAAACTTTGCCATTTTGCCTCCTCCTCACCAGTATAATGAGAGACACTGGGCTTGGATGAGCAGTGTACACTGAGTGAAGACGAGGGTATGACAGGAAAGTCCTGAACAGCATTTAGAGACAATTTGTTCTGGCCACAACCACTTCCTCTATCACTTAGTAATTGCTGCCATTAGTGAGCAACTTGCAGTCTTTCTCTACCCTTATCTTTTAGATTCTTGTGTATCTGACCCCAGGGTTGTGTATCTGAAGCAGAAGTACAAGCAGTGTACAGTTAAGAGTATTTTAAGAGCAGTGAAAAGAGGGAAATGTATCCTGTGAGGAGTTCTACCACCTTGTGGAAGGAGCCAAGATCGCTAATGCATCCTCCGTCCAACTATCTGATAAATAAGCTTTAATGAATAGGATTATGGGAGCTCCTCTACAGAAACAAACATGCTTCATGAGAAAATGTGCTGTCCAGCCACAAATTCTGCAGCTGAGTCAGCATCCCAGGGCGTTCCCTTCCTCTAAAAGCTGCAACTCCAATGCAGAACAACAGTTCTGCTGATGAATGAACTGCTGATGTCTGCTCAGGAAAGAAAGCCAGAATAAGTTTCTGTGCTTTTCTTCTGTCCAGCCATACATAAGCTAAACAGAGTATTTTGGTGAGTCTGAAAAAACTTGTAATGGTGATCAGGTTCTTTGATTCCCTGAGTTAGAGTGACAGCTGGGTGTGCCCCGATACAGTCTCAGTCAATCTTGTTGATTTTAAACTTACTGCTGCTCACAGGCAAAATGGGAAAGAATGTGGCAGTCTATGAAAACACTTCTTCCCATCCCCATGTATTGCTCTGCAGATGTTTCAACCTGGTCTTAAAAATCACTTCAATCTTAATGTCAAAGGGAAACTTGGTACCTATCTGAGAAAAGAGGGATTTAAGCAGTGAAACAGGGTAGCAGCAGTTCCTCAGAGATCTTGGTGTGATATGTGGGCCTGCATCTGGCTAAATATGAAGTGAGATTGTCTTACTACTTGGAAAATATCTGACAGTTAAAGCTTAGCAGGGGGAATTATATTGGATTGAGGTCTTCATTTTCTTGCATTATTACCCTTCTTGGATAACCTTGTCAAGAAACAGGTACATCTTATGCTTAAATTCATAGTCCTTAAGTTCCTCATGGTTAATGCTGATACTTCTGAATAGTGAAGAAGGTTGATGAAAAGAAAGAATGTGTAGCTTTATTGAAACTCAAACAGTTCAACAAAAGGAGGATAATTTTCTTCAACTAGATCCATTAACCTTAAAACTCAGTGAGAAGTAACAATAGGGCTTTTTTGACAAATTCTGTTGTAAGTAATAACAGAATTGTGATTGTCTGATGTAGTTGTGATTCATAGTTATGCTGTATCATGTTGCTATCATTATACCAAATAGTGCCTTTTAGGAGGTCATTTGCTCAATTTTCCATGCCTAACGGGGATGTTTGGCAGCTGTTATAGGGAAAACAGTTCTTTGGTGTTTACTGGTTAGATACTCCTCGCCTTCTGACCCACTGGATACTGAAACTTTTCTAAACTTTGCTCTTTTTAACAAATAAAAATGTTAATGCTTTATACAGTATTTCTCACCTTGGAAAGCCTATAGAGAGAATTTAGGTATAAGTCTGTCCTACACTGAAAAGGTTAAAAAATTGCTGGTACTTGTACCTGGAGAAATAAAATGTAGGAATGATATGGGATTTGCATTGTGGGATTTAGTCAAAGCAGTTAGTACTGTAGGCTTCTTTGGCATCTCTGATATGTGTAGATACGAGGGTCTGAATTTAGACCTAAGCTTCCTGAAGACTTGTAGATTCTGCCTGTTGCATTGTTTATGTATATGAAGCCCAAAGAGATTTAATACAGAATTGCTTGAAGGAAAGTTACTTCACAACACTGATGTCTCTAGAGTTTGTTTTCTACTGTGTGATAAGTTCTTATCTGTATTTTGCTGAGCCTGAGATGCTAGAAGCTGAAGGCTCAGACATACTTTTCAAAAGAGATGAGATCCTTTGTAGCTGTTCTAAATGAGTTCTGTCCAGATGTGATGGAAGGATCCACAAGACATCCACAAATCTCAGGAGCCAGAAGCCTTGAGCTGAATGTTAGCCATTTGTACAGGTGGGGTCATTGTGTTTAGTATTTGGTATTTTTCTGAAGAAGTTCGTGGATGATATGGTGCTTTTAAGGAGGCTGCTTGATTGCTATTTACCACTGCTGTGGGGAGAACAAAACTCTACAGCTGAGCTCGAGTCATACCTGCTGTGAGAACCACAGGTGATTCACAGCCCAGGCTTTGGGCTAGCCAAAGTTGAAAGTGGATTCTCCTTTTGAAAACAGATCATCATTGAGGCCACAATCTGTGAAGTCAGAGGTATGGTAGTTGGCTACTTCCTCATCTAGGAAAACCTGGATGGTAACAGGAAAGGACTCAGAAATTACTGTAGAAGTTGGAAAATGTTCTAAAACTTTTAAAAAGTGGCATATTAAATATAGCATTTTGTAACTTCATCCATTTCAGTGGTCAGTCTCCAACTCAAGCTTAGAGTCATCTCCAAATACTTGACAGCATAGCTAGCAAGGGAATCGATGTTTATATTTTAATTTCTCCAGATTTATTGAGATTCCTTTTTTCTGCACAAATTTTGAGGAGCCTGTGGCATAGAGTTAATTTTCTAGCGTAATGCATCTCATATAATATATTTAATCTGCTGGTCCTCAGGACTTGAAATTTCAGAGTAGTTGCAGTAGCTAAAACTGCAGTTAGGTTACTGTAATAAATTCATACTGAAAACTCAGATATTCTTGGAACCATCAGATCATGCCACTGACAGAACTTGCTACTTCTGGGTTATTCTGCCTCTTATCATAATGTAGATCTAAGAATTTCAAAGCCAAATCCCAGAAGAAGGATTAAAAGAAATTTCATACCCTCAGTTAGAGGTGGGTCTTTCTAGTGTGGAGGTGGGTTTTAGGCTGTAGGGGTTCTCTGTATGAATTGGGAAAACCTGCTGTTCAAACCTCTCCTCATGGGAAGGCTTCCCAATTTTGTTTGTTGTGGTTCTTCTCTATTGTCTGTGTTCCTACTCCTGTGCTTTGCAGTCGCTAGGTTCTGGGAGAGAGGATGCTGCTTTTTAATTTGCTGTTGCTGCTGTCTCCCAGAATTTCCTTCTTCTGGTATAGATTTTTGTAGCCAAAGGACTCTATTAACTTGAAAGAAAAGTTCTAAATGGGGAATGTCATGTTGATGGTTCCTACTGGTTCATATTTCCTGGATGGTTTTGGAATTGTGTCTGGCAAGAAGTGAATGATGTAGGGTATGCCTGTAGTGAAGGGATAAGCCTGTTTATGATGATCTTTCACACTTTATTGCCTGTAGAAATCTGCTGCTTTTCTACTTCTGTGTTATCACTTGTTTCTTTTTGGAATCCATTCCAGTCAAAGTTATGAGGAGAAAGTCTTTCAGTTTGCTGTTCACCAGGTAGATAAGAATTATTTTTAAAAAGTTCAGTTTGCAACAAAATAACTAAACAGGGTTTCTTTTAGAGAAATTTCAAGTTAATTTTGATTTTATTCTTCAGCAGCAGTATATCCTGCATGTCAGGAATGTTAATTTTTAAATGTAAATTCTGAATAAAAACTTTGACAGTGAAATAAAATAATATAAAATATCCTGATGTCTTGCTGTTCTTCTAAAGCAAGGCCTGGAAAGATGATTCACTCTAGCTTTGAAAATCAGGGATTCTTTGCCATGTGTGGAAAAAACCCCAACTCTTCTGTAACAATGTGTTTTCTTTAAAAGCTTGAGGAATTTCTATCTAGGCTAAAAGAAAAGTTTTGTGTGGCATATCTATGGTTACAACTTGCTGCTGAATAAAAGTATAGGGTGTCTTTCATACTTGAAGTGGAAAAGGCACTCCAGAGGAGCCTCCATAGATGTACACCCAAGACCTCTGTCTGTACAACAGACACATTGGTTAAATGGATGCATAATCAGTATCTGTGGTTTGTTTACAGAACCTCTGTAAGAAGAGAGCCAGATGAGGAATCTGGTGCATTTCAGGGTTGGGGAGAAGGTTTTCATCATGCACAGACATGTTCTGAGAGCTTTAGTTTTGTACGGGAAATTGTTATTTTCTCCAGAATTACATTGACATAGTCTCTGTGGCTTGCCTGAAAGGGTTCACTTTTTCCTTTTTTTTTTTTTGCTACCATCAGAAAACTAGCTCCCATAATGTATGGGTGAAGTCTAGGGCAGTCCTATGATTGCTGTAGGGCTGTTCAGCTGGTTTTTGTATATGCCAGAAAACTGCTGTGGAAGGTCAAAAGCAAAAGGCTGGCTAGTCTCTGAATTCTCAGAGCATTCAATGTCTAGAGGAGGAAGAAGAATGAAAAAGATATAGCAAAAAATATTCCAGAAACTGACTACATGTTAGTGCCCTGACTTTAAGCATATGTGAGCACACTTTTTTTTGTGCCTATGTATACTTTTTCTTTCTTTTTGCTTCATCTAGTTTGACACTGTAATTGCAGAAGCGGCCAGCTTGATGTCCGGGAGCTGATCTCTCTGTACCCCTTCCTGTTGCCTACTTCCTCTTCATTTATCCGGTCTCATCCCCCTCTGCACGAGTACGCAGACCTGAACCAGCTGACCCAAGGGGACCAGGAGAAGATGGCAAAATGCAAACGATTCCTTATGAGTTATTTGAATGAAGTCCGCAGCACTGAGGTTGCAAACGGCTACAAGGAGGATATTGACACAGCTTTACTCAAACTCTATGCAGAGGCAAATCATGAAAGCCTGCTGGATCTCCTAGTTTCAGAGAACTTCTGTCTTTTAACAGATAGTGCTGCCTGGCTGGAAAAACACAAAAAGTAAGTGGATTTTTTTATTATTGCACCTTCTAGACCAGAGCACACCTTCTAAACAGAGGGGAAAATTGCCTTAGATCCCCTTGGCTTCTAGAACAATGTGCTTGAGTACTTGTAGTTCCTGTGCTTACACTTGTCCAAAAGATAACTCGGTTTGAATTAGCATTGTTAGCATTTAAAAATATTGGTGAAAAGCTATGACAGTCTAAGGTAAAGGAAATGCATTCTGTCTTATTCTGGTAAATGCAGAATTCTCCATGCAAGTTTCTGTATCAAACAGAAAAATAAAGAATTGGTGCAAATTGGGGAGGAAAAAGTAAATTGTTTGCCCTTGTGATAATGGGAGAGTGGAATGGCTACAGCAGTTGTACACAGACAAAATAAAAAAAATACCTTAAAGCTTGCACTGCCTTAGGTAAAAGCTATTAACCAGTTAGTGACTTTAAAATTGTAATTGCTTATTCAGGGAAAGAGCTCTTATAATTGCAAGCTTTCTATGTTCCACTGATGGACCAAAAAGAGGTTCCTTAAGATGACTGCAAATGACTTCAAACCAGAAATGCCAGCAGCCAGAAAATTGACTCTCATTAAGTAGGAAACATTAGATAGTAAATGTGTAAAATACAAACTCCAGGCTTAGGTAGTATGTCTATTATAGTTTTAATTTCTTTAGCTTTAAACTGTCTGATGCAGTAGTAGCAAATAGAGTGGTGAGGAGAATTTTTAATTGTGGTTATATTTGAGGTGTTTTCATTTCTTTCAGGTATTCTGTTAAAACCTTTTGGTGAGTGTGGTTTGCATGGCATACTTTTGCAAGTGTGAATTGAATGAATGTTAGGACATTGTTCTGTGAGGACAGCCATTACAGAACTTGTAATTGTATTTTTATTAGAGTTCACAAAAACAGCTCAGTAGTTGCACTGTACAAAGCTCTTCTTTGCCTGATCTGACTCCATGCCACAATAAAGAAAAAAGTTTCTGATGGTAAAAGAGTTTTAAATAAACACATAATAAAATGTGATTTAATGACAGCTGATAAACTACTGGAGGAATAGTAACTTGAAGGTGTGCATTATGTCTGTTCATAAAATTGACAGAACAGCGTGGGAACATCTCTAATTGGGCACGTATTTTGAGTAAGTGGGATCTAGTAACTACAAATTGTCTTGGGCACAGGAGTGATGAAGACACACTATTAGGGCAGAACTCTCCTTTGATTCATGAAAGCAGCCTACAGAGACTTGTTCAAGTGTAGACATGGCCATGTATGTGTCACTGTAAGCCATTATTTGTTGTACTATGTGCTAATCAGGCCATAATGAAATTAGTGGGAAAGTTCTAGAAACTTAAATATTGTCTTCTTTTTTTACAGGTATTTTGCACTTGGTCTCCTGTATCACTACAACGGTCAGGATGCTGCAGCACTTCAGGTTAGAATAAAGCTTTTAGTGTCATCAGTAAACCATTCCAAAATACTGTTTTAGCTCTGAGATAAAAATCTAAGGTCTTAATTTATCTGTTTTAAAAGTTGTGCGGTGTGTGTATATGAGAAACTTGAAACTTAAGCTAAGACTTCCTTGAATAAATTAATATGCTAGATGTGAAAAGTCTGAAGAGCTTACTGAAATTGACAGCTATTTAGATGCTTGTATGATATCTTTAAAGCAAAACTGTACATACCAGAACATATGTTTATGCTCCTAAAAGATGGACAAAAGTGCTAAAATAATCAAGCAGTCGCTTTAAGGTATTTATGGGACTCAAGGAGCATGTCCTGTGCTATTTGATCTGTATACACACAGCAAAACAGCATTGTAATCTCATGGCAGACACTGACAGCAATTCAGAGTTTATTTCCTTATGTGGTGATGAAGAGTCAGCACATTCTGCAAGATCTGTGAGTTTCAGATGGGTTAGTAATCCCTTTGGGGACCTTCCATCTGATGTCACTAATATTAGCAGTAGCCTGTACATTGCAGAATAAATAATTCTCTTCTTCCTGTCTGCAAAATTTCATATAGAGAAATTAGAATGTTCTTGATGTGTCTCAGACCATATCCAGTATTTTAAATTGGCCTTATTGTGTGGCTCTTTGAATACATTAATTACAGTAACCCAATCAGATGCATTCAGGTCAGTTACAAAAGTAGTAATAATGGCCTGAGAAAAAATCAGGTAAGGGCAACAAAAACACATTTGTCATGTGCAAGAATCTTGGAAGAATTTTGATGCTACAAAAAACAAGGTTTGTTGCTAAACTGGTCTGCTAGATGTGGCACATTTAAATTCCAACTATAATGCATATAAAAATATCGTATGGTACTTGTAACTCTTCAGACAAAAGAAAAGCAGAAAACCAGTTTTTCTTCTAAATTGCATGTATAATTTGCTTTTAGTCTTGCACACACAGAACACATGAAAAGTATACCATGCATTGGAGAAAAGGACTTTGGATAAATGCTTTCTTTATGAGTAGTGTACCTTCCTTAGTCACTCTCAGAATGAGAGCCCACATGATATGGGGTCTGAATTGGCTGAAAATGGCAGGTGCAAGACAAGGGTGACCAGCAATGTTCCTTGCAATTGGTGTTCTTGTCAACTCCTTCTAATTTCACGTCTTGCACTAAGTCTTTTAGTAGCTCACATAAATTTTGAGGTGGAAGAGCTAGTACATGTTTTATGCACTTGAATCTGTGTGTTTTTGTTGCAGCTTTGGGTGAAAATAGTTGATGGAGACATTCAAGATTCTACACGTTCAGATCTCTATGAGTACATAGTAGACTTCCTTACATTCTGCTCAGACCAAGAGCTAGTGTGGAAGTACTCTGAATGGATTTTGCAAAAAAATGAAGAGGTATGTGATTATTACACTTTTCACAGAACATCAGTATTTCCCTGCAGTAGTGTTTGGGTTTTCCTTAATGTTGATTTTTCTTGATAGCTGATAGGACCTTTTGCAGAATATTTAATGCCAGTTAAATAGTCATCAGCAGAAGAAAACTTGCTGGTTTCTCAATTCATCCAAGTCCCTCTATTAGCAAGTGCTAGTGATAATTGCCTCTTTTTATTCTGAAAACAAAGTTTAGGGCATGAAAAATACAGCATGTCTTCTGTTTTCTTCATATCAAGTAAGATAATTTTTGAATCTTTAAATAAACAAATCACCTGGCAGCTTAGCAGCTGCTGCTTCTTATTTTAAAGGAGATGAGGGGTATCTGTGTACACCAGGACATGGAATAAATAGCCTGCATTCAAGACAAAATTTAATTCTTTTAGCAATGAACTTAATCTGCCAAAAAACAAAAAAATTGTGCGGTGCTTGGTGCTGTATCAGACAGTCTGTGCTGCTGGAACTCGTTACTGCTTGATTTATATTAAGCAAATATTAATATAGTAATATTAATTTATTAATTTAAGCATAGCTATTTTGTGCAGTGGCAGATTTTGAAGCTTTTGGTTTGGTAATTACAGAAATCTCTTGCTCTGTCTATATCATCACGTGTGAAAAGGCTTAGAACATTCTGGTCTCTAATTTGAGCTTTCCTGCTGCAAAGGCTGAAGTTTCTTGTTTTGTTGTGCAAATCCATTCAATATTTTTTGTGTAAGTTGTGTCCAAGCCAAGGTTTATAGGCTGAACAATGTATGGACTACTAATTGAGGTAGTGCACATAGGAGTGAGATCACGATAAGCATGGAGTAGTGTAATCCTGTGGTGTTGAGCAGGGTTTTGTGTTTATTTTCCTGAATAATGTATTAACAATAGTGCTATTCTTTTTTAATTTTAAATACTTATTTATTAAAATGGTGCCATTGAGTTCCTAAATGACTAGCTAACTTCCAATTAACTCTTTCTAGGTTGGCGTACAGATTTTCACTAAAAGGCCTTTGGAAGAACAAGAGAAAAACAACATTAATCCAGATGATATCATCAGTTGCCTTAACAAATATCCTAAAGCACGTGTCAAATATCTAGAACATCTAGTACTGGAAAGAAAAATACAGGTGAGTTCTGTGAGAATGCTAAAAGTAGGCATAGGATTCAGAATTCAGGTTACAATCAACAAGCCTGAAAATAGGCAGTATCTGGAAGAAATTGGCACAGTATGAAATCTTCCAAATGTACTCAGAGTAGGGTAGGTGTGTTTTTAAGATTAAAGTAGAAGATGAAGATACCGTCATTACTTTGAATTTTTCAATGCTTGTAATAACAAGACAGTTGCTTATGTCCCCTCAGACTAAGGGTTTGTTTTCTTTTTTTTTTACATCTGGTTATTGCATACTTTTCTATTTCACTGATGAGGCTCAAACCTTCTTCTGGTAAGATCATAGAAAATGATCAACAACAAATTGAGCAACTGCTGATCCTATTGCACTGTGGCAGCAATATATTAAAATTGTTGATGCAGTGTTTTACAATTAAGAATGTTTATTCTTTCTGGAGACATATGAACAATTAACAATCAAATTAAACCATGCAGCCCTCGCTAGAATGCCAAACCACTGTTGATGCTGAATGCCCCAAAGATGCATTCACAAGTCCTAAGTGACAGTGTATTGTACTTGTGGGGGTTTTAGAACAATACAAAAGCAGCCAAATGTTGTATTTGGATATGAGACATTTTAAGCGCTGGAGAAGTCCTTTAACCTGGAAATAAAGCAAGGAAATGAACCCTGAAAGAATTCTGCAGAATTGATGGTCAGTGCACTAATTCACATTCTTTGAATGAACATCAGATCAGTGGCTTCCCCTTATTGGTGTTGCAGGTGTGTTACACCATGACTGGTGAATGTACTTGTCTCTGATGTCATTTCCAAACAAACTTTTTGAGTTAAACACAGTGCCTTGTAAAATATTTGTGAAAATATTTTACAATTAAATCTACCTGTTAGTAAAAGCTGAGTTATAAATCAATTTTGGTCTTTAAAAATGACTGCATTGTTGTGAATGATTTAGTGAGAATGTTTAAAACAGTCAAATCATCAGTTAGTTTTGATGAATATTGGATAGTGGATAACACAAAAAGCACTGCACCTTCAGATTGCTTTTTTGTCTGGTGGCTTTGTCAGATATTATTGCAGAAATAGAAAAGGTCAAAGAACATACCTGAATATAAGGAATCCTGCATTTACCATGTAGTTTGTGAGGCTGCTCTGAATTAAGTTCTTTATCTGTGTGGACAAAAAACTTTGTGATTAATTCAAATTAAGTAAGTTAAAACACATTTCTATGTAATTAAGTAAAACACATTTCAATGTAATTAAGTAAATATTTATCACTTATTATTGTGTTATTGCTGGGGCCAAGAGATTTGTAAACTGAGCTAACATTGTTCTATTCATCTGTAGAAAGAAAAGTACCATACTCATCTAGCTGTCTTGTACTTGGAGGCAATACTTCAGCTAAAATCTGTGACCACAGATAATTGTACAGAAACAACTGAACTGGTGTTGAAACTTCGCAGTCTGCTTCGGAAATCTGATCTTTATAGAATTCGCTTTATTTTAGGTAGGTTGCATGTTGTCTGTTGTAAATGCTGTATGTGATTTCCAGCTGGACACAAAATAATAGTCCTTACAAGGACAGAAAACTGAAAGATCTAAGTTTTCTGCGTGTGTTTGTTTGATAGGCTGTATTTCTAACAGACACAGGTTAATTTAGAAAGCATATGTGTTGGTGTTGTCCTTGGTCTCCATAGCTCAAATGATACGTTTGCCACTGCACCAGAGACAGAACACCAATTGTCCAGAACAAATTATCTGCACACAATATTCTTAATAGTCACCTTCTTTTTAATGATGAGCATGTAACTTGTGAAAACCTTTTGCAAATAAAAGACCTACAAGTTTATTTTTTAAGCAGCCTGTTTCTAGTGAATGGAAGGGAAACTTTGAGGAATCTAATTACCGAGGACTTGTTTCTTACCCATAGCCCTGGAACTCTCTCTGGGGTTCACGTTTAATAAAAATATGAGCATCTTTTTAAGTGAAAAATACAACATACGTGTTACTGTTGGTATAAGACAAGCAACAGTTGACCTAAATGTTTTCGTTGTTCAGTGCTTATAATGATTTAATTTTTAGTGTTTCATCCACTAGAATGCACACATACAATGCAATTAAGCAAGCCAGGTGTTTAAATCTTCTCTGGTATGGAGGATTATGGTTGAAGAATGATGGAATAGTGGATGAAAAGGAAGTGACTTTTTGAAATTCAGTGGAAAAAAATCTTGTGTATGTGGAAATAAAAATGTAACAACTAAATAGTAATAACTAAATAATTTACTATTGTTTAATGTTTTCTTGCCTTTCCAGGCAGCAAAATGTTACATGATGGATAAGGTACAAGTAGAGCACAGTCATTGAAACTCTTGTTCTTTTTCATCTTTTAGTCAGTTTTTAAACAAATTTTTCAAGACAGGAGTTACAGAACAGATTATTCTCTTGAAATCCATGTACTCCAAAATAAAGGATTTCTTACATTATTATTCTTACATTACATGAAAGTGAGATTAATGCAAGCTAGTGTGTTCCTCCTTGATAACCAAAACATTTTGGTGAGAAAAACATTGTATTTCCATGCATTTTACATAGGCCTATGCCAAATCTGTCACCTTTACAGTAATTAGATTTTTTCCTACTTTATTTTGAAATGCCAGATGAACTTGCCATTTTACCTGCCTATTGCTGACACTTAAACTTTAAACTGGATCAAGGGTTTGTAGTGTCCTTTTCTTAAAGGGAAGGACTATTTGATTTTTATTGTCTTTTATGGAGATTATTCTGTGACCTCCTATAATACTGGGAGAAGCAGCAGTTAAAAATATTGCAGCTTCATCTTTCAGTTTATTGTACGTGGTAGCAGTATCTGCTAGAATTTAAAAGGTGTCAGTGACAGTGGTTTATCACCTATTATTTAGTAATTTCTTTGTCCCATATTTTGTGGTGCTCTTTTTGTTAGAGGTGTGTTTCCATACATCTGAGCATTCCTGTACTTACAAGCATCTGCTTTCTCTCTAGTTGCACTGACTGGGAGAGGGAGCAGTTGTCTCCTCCACTGAGCAAATATTGCCTTGTTTCTCATTTAACAGACAAAATCCAAGGCACAGACCTTCATATGGAAAGTGCAATTTTATATGGGAAGCTGGAAGAACATGAGAAGGCTTTGCATATCCTTGTCCATGAGTTGAAGGACTTCCATGCTGCTGAAGATTACTGTATGTGGAACTCTGAGAACAGAGATGTGCAGTACAGGCGAAGGCTTTTCCATCTGCTGCTCTCAGTGTATTTAACTCCAGGCACTTCGGATTGCGCGCTCGTCATGGCTGCCGTGGATCTCTTGAATAACCACGCTGCAGAATTTGATGCAGGTCTAGTTTTGCAGGTGGTGCCTGACAGCTGGTCAGTGCAGCTCCTCTCCCCATTCCTGGCTGGAGCAGTGAGACAAAGCATTCACACAAAAAGAATGACTCAGGTGGCACTTGGGTTAGCACAAGCTGAAAACTTAATCTACAAGCATGAGAAGGTAGGTTACTGGGGTGTTTTTAAATAAAAGCGCTTTGAAGCTTTGCAGCTGAGTCCTTTGATATACAGTAAACAAAAGAAGTTTGAAGAATTAGTAAAAAAGCTATCTTCATGTCTTTGACATTTATTAGGGAGTGTTGTGCCATGACTGCTAGATTCAAAATTAATTCTATGTTTTCTCTGTAAAACAAAGGGAAAGTAGGGACCTTGAAATAGGTCCTTGGTGAACTTCTGGGCTGAATATGAAGTGAATCTGGGATTTGCAGATTAACAAAGTTCTTGCAGAAACTTTAGCAAGTGTGAGTTAGCATTTCTTTTACCTAGAGGGAGTGTCAGAATTTCCAATTCAGTTTTTTTTTACAGTGTTGCCTGTCAAAATTTGTGAAAAAAAATTATCCAGCACTTAAGTATTAATAGAAGCTTGTTAGTAGATTTTGTTAATGGTAAATTCAGTTGTGAAGCTTTCTTCTATTCCTAGTTAGGACAGTGTTGCTTAGATTCTTAAAATTGTTTTTGTTTTATCCATTTGGTACAGTTGCAGTTATGCTCCATCATTTCCCTTCCTTTCTTGTTAGATTCACATTTGGAATTTTTTCCCCTCTCTCTTTAGGTTAAACAAAAAGGAGCCCCGATTCTTCTTTCAGACAAAAAAGTGTGTCAGGTGTGCCAAAATCCTTTCTGCGAGCCTGTGTTTGTAAGATACCCAAATGGGAATATGGCCCACACGCACTGTGCTGCAAGCAGACATCTCAATTCCAATGTGACTCATCACTCTCCCAGCTCCAGCAATCAGACTTGAAACACTCCCACAGTTCCCATGACTTACATCCCATTGAAAGTGGGCTGGAAAGAAAAACGTGCAGCTACTTTAAGTATAAATCAAGATGGACAGTTAGTTTTTGGGTTAATGGGAAGACTTCCAGTAAATATGAAATACTGCTACTTACCTTTTTGATTTCTAATGAATGTAGATAGAAAAGAAAATTCACTACCAGACATGGAGAGGTGCAAATATGGGCTCTTCTGTGAACAGGAGTAAACACTTAAGGGAAAAGGAGTCTTTTCTTCACAGTGCGGATGAATGTTACAGAGTGAAGGCAAGTGAAATTATTTCAAGAATTGTCACTTTTCACTGACTGTGGTGTTGATAAATTTGTGGAGGGGAAGATGGCATCTCTTGGAGTTGGAATTCTTGAAGAGTGATGGGACAAGATTGGCTTTGTGCAGCTTACCATGAAGACAGAGGTGTGCATTGATTTTAATGCTTGCTGCAGCATGTCTTCTTTTGGGCTGGATTATCTTCCCCAGGATCACATTATCAACTTCAATTTTTTTGCTCTACAAAATGTTGGCTTTTGATGCACTTTTTAGTACCTCCCTCCCATCCACCTGCTATATGGAATTTAAATGTAAGCACTGCTCTGTTAGGTTTCTGCTCCTGCAGTTACTGTAATGTACTGAGTGGAAACCAATAGCTGTAATCACACAGGTGAGCTCGGAAGAAAAAAAAGAAAGATTGTCTGGTCAGACTGTAGTCACTTTTATATGGGGGAAGAGGCCCTGACTTTAATACTGATTTATTTATTAATATGCAAATATGCTGTACATATAGTTGAATAAATTGATCTTATCATTCTAGCATTTCTTTGGAGGATTGAGATGTAGCTGATATAAAAGTGTACAGATTATGTGCTAAGTGTTTGCTATAACATAACTTAGGCAGATTGGAGCACCACAAAAATAGGTTTTAGTGCTTATGGATGACTTTGTGCAATCAAAACCACAGAGAGAAGGTATAAAATTGTAAGAAATCTAAAGTGCACTACAGGGGTACTGGGTTTTTTATATTCTAAATATACTAAATATTCTGTAAACTAAAATTTTTCAAATAACACAAACCACTTACTTAACTGCCCTCATGTATTCACATTGCTGTTTAGCCATTTTAAAGCAGTTGGTTTAAAAGATGCAGCTTCCCCAAGAGAGCTTAAAATGACAACTTTAAATAAAAGTTAAGTACTGCAATGTGGAAGCATTTCTTTTAATTCTGTAAAGCTCTAATAAATGCCAGGCTTACTGTCCAGCATGCAGTTGAGTATGGCTGCTCCCTGTTTCAGAATTATAAATCAGTGGAGGCTTTCAGCAAAATGGCATGTCGACTTGGTCCTTTCTAGGATCACAGAATAAGCTGAATTGGAAGGGATGCATCAGGATCATCGAGTCCAGGTCCTGGCCCCACACAGGACACCCCAGAGTCACACCATGTGCCTCACAGTGTTGTCCAGATGCAGCCTCCTTGTACAGAAAGGCTGGCTAAGGAAGCTGCCTTCTATGTACAGTGCTGTCTCCAAGAAGGGGCAGCCAGACTTCATCCAGGGGAAAAAGAATCCATCCCTTTCTCACAGAAACATGCAATGATTTGAGGTGAACAGGACATTAAAGATCATCTCTTCCACCCCACCTGCCATAGGCAGGGATGCCTTCCACTAAACCAGGTTCTTTAAAGCCTCATCCAACCTGACCTTGAACACTTCCAAGGATGGATTGTCCACAAGTTCTCTGAGCAACCTCTGCCTGTGCCTCACCACCCTCACAGTAAAGAATTTCTTCCTGATGTCTGATCTAAACTTGCCCTCCTTCAGCTTAAGGCCATTTCCCTTTGCCCTATCACTACATGGTTCTGTACAAAGTCCACCTTCACCTCCCCTGCTGGCTCCCTTGAGGTTCTGGAAGGTGCTATAAAGTCTTCCAAGAGCTTTCTCTCCAGGCTGAACAGCCCCAGCTCTCTCAGCCTGTCTTTGTAGGAGAGCTGCTCCAGCCCTGTGGTCATCACTGAGGCCTTACTCCCGGCTTGTTCCAGCAGTTCAACATCTTTCTGGTATTGTGGGTCCCAGAGCTGTACTCGAGGTGTGGAGTACTTTGCTTTAAAGCAAAAGACCTTTGAATCTTTCTCCTTCCCGATTTTGAAATTAGGAAAGTATAAGTGTTGTGTTGAATTTTATTTATTTTTGAAAGCCCATGTAAGGAATTGTGTACTTTGTACTAAGACATACAAACCACATTTAGTGAGAGGCACTTCAAAAGAAGTCAAGTGTGGGCATTTCTGATTCAATTCTGGCATGAGTGATTCTGCTATGGCACTTGTATAAGCAGATTCTCTATCTTGTAGTCATGGATTTTGAACAATGTTTATACAACTGTCAGTAACGGTATAGAAAAGTTTGTAGTCCCCTGTCCTCAAAATACTTGCTGATAAGAGTGGAAATGGTTTTTACAAAGACCCTATAAACCTTTTGTGTACACTAGCATGCATTTCTTAAGAAATGTTTTCTTTTGCTGCCAGTATGCTAAGTATACTCTTTTTTTCTATTTAGTAAGAAGGTACTAAAACAAAGACCCCTCTCCATGATTTACAGTAATTTTAGCCACTTAGTAGTGATGAACTACTGCTGCAATAAAGATCATATCATTCCAGACCTCAGGAAAATTCTCCTTTGCTATTGCATGAAAAAGTATGTCTATAAAAGATTAAACAATTCTTTATTAATAGTCAATATCTTTTTGCAGATACGTACTTTGGTTAAAATGCAGCAAAACCAATAATTGTACATACAGAACAAAATCAGAAATCAGAATAATGGAAGCTAGATTTTTGCAATCAAAAGTGTGATTAATATTTAAGTTGGGGGCATCTAGTTCTTTTAAACCTGGTCCTCCTAAAATGTGGACTGGAAAAATTGATATTGGATTCACACGTTGGATTCACCTGTTGCTTTGTTAAGTTTTATGCTAGAACTCATTTGAATGAATTAATATGGAAATCCCACGGTAACTAAAGGGAAAAGCAAAGAAAGCCAATGTGAGGCTGAGGCAGAGCAAGAGCTCAGCAGGGAGGTGGCAGGTGGACAATGCCCTTCCTGTGTGTGTGTCCAGCACATGAGCAACTGAGATAATTCTCAACCAGAGGAGGTGTCAGCCCACATCAGAGTCATGTGTGGTGTTCTGTGCTTTGTCACCAGGAAATTTATGAAAGGGCTGCATTCAGATTTAGGTGGGACAACTGAACACCCCTTGGGTAAGAGAGCTTCATTCTGGGGAACCTGAGTTCATTCCTTCTTTTGTTTTGGCACTGTCAGTTTGATGATTCTTGGTTTATGCACCTGAAATCCTGGGCCAGCATTGCTACTGTGGTAAGTTATGGCTGCAGCAGCATGGAGGGAGTGAACAGGGAAGGAACCAGAATTGAGTATTAATTGCTGACTGCATATGTGAAGGAGGAAAGGCAGGAAAGAGGAACATTTCTCTGACCGTTCTTCTAGTTTGGGAATTAAATGCTTTCTGGGAGTTAAAGCCTGGTGTGATCTTTTTATCTCCAATTAGGGAATATGGTGTCTAAGACCTGCCCTTGTAGAATGGAGATTCTGCCAGAATATTTATCCCTAATTTAGCTGTTGCTAAATTATTTGAAATTCATCTCTCTCACTTTTTCTTATGAGTTTCCACCAACTTTGTATGTGTGAAAACCAAAACAGTAGTGCAGATTTTTTTAATGTGACCCTTTGTCTGTGATTCAGGACATAATAAATGAGATTAGTCTCTCACACTGATGCCTCTGCAGATATCAAGACACATTTGTTTAACATGTAACCTCCAGTTACTTAAATACTACAGCTTTGACCTATTTTTTAGCCATCCACTGCTATAGATGATGATACCTACAAAAAGCACTTGTTAAACTTTCTTCTACACTTTAATATCTCCACGCTTCCTCATGTAAAAATTACCTATGGTGTGTGTATGTATGTCCATCATATGCAGTTTGTCCCTCTTTAAGTCAATAAGAGAAAAAACCTTAACAAAAAAATTGCTCAGAATCTGGCACTCTGCTCAAAATAAGATTAATGGCTGTATATTCATGAGAAAGAATTCAGTTAACATCTTCATTTCTTTTGTTTAAATGGATAAGTTGTCACATTGAGATCAGTATTCTTGTAATATTGTCAAAGCCAGGGGAAAATAAGCATTTGGAGTTTGTTACACAGAGTACACCACAGATAGCTAAGAACTGACTTGTTCAGGCAGCCCATACTGAGATGGCTCAGGTGTGCACAGGAGTCCAGGTTACAATGAGAACTTCTCTCTTTGCTCCCCTTGCTCCCAATCTCCAGAAACTTCCCAGCCTTTGTTACCTGATTAATGTCACTCTTCTAGCACTTAACTGGCATGAGTACAAATCTTGCGAGGTCTGGGGGACTCCTGAGCAGATCTGTCTTCACTAAAATGTCACTTTATTGCTTAGCCACATGAAGCCCTACTAATGTGAGCTGTGGAAAAGTGGTTGTAGGGACAGAGTATGTGTATGTTTTCTGAGAACTTTATTACATGTTTAAACACACAAGCATTATCCTGACTGCTGAGTCTTTATAACAACATCTGTTCTCAGGACTCCTGTCCTGAACAACATTAAAAATATTTTATTTTATACTGTTCTATCAAGAAGTAATTTTTAATTTTATTACTCTTCTGGTTTGCTGCAGTCTCTATTCAGCATGGCTCTAAGTGTTTTATTAACATCCTGCTGTTCATAACAGACAGCAACTAATACATTTTCATTGTGAGCTCTCTTCTTATTGCCTATATTTGCTAATTAATTTTTCTCTTGCTGTACAACACTTTGGGGCTTATGCCTTGTGAACACTGGTAATTAAATGTGCTGCTACTTTTTAAGGGAAAAGAAGAAAAGTTAATAACATTCTGTAATGTATGATTGATTTCAAAATTGAAGTTCCCCTGCAGTAAATTTGTTCAGATGGAAGTTTGTACTGTTAAGGCTTTTGGACTTAGTGGTTATATTGGTGAACATACACAGCAGTATGTGGAATGTACAAATGTATAAATATGTTGATTTTTAATAAAATAAAATCTTTTAATTACATTTGTCATGGATTTATGGATACATAAACCCTGGAATGTGAATGCTCAAGTGAAGGGCAAAGATTATGTTTTGATAAATAGGGGATTCAGCAGGGGGACTGACAGAGGGGTCAGATCCCTGACATGTGGAAGTGAGGCTGGTGCTTACATACTCTGCACAAGGCAGTGGTGTTGGTGTTCCTCATCTTCCTCCTTGCTGCTCAGGACTAATTCAGAGCTGCTCCCCAGTTCCAGCAAGAGGGGCCAGAGCTATCACAGTGGCACTGTAGGACAAGGAAAGCTCAGGAAAGGAAGGCTGGTAAGGGCTGGTAAAGAGTCTGTGGTGAGCCAAGGAAACTGGTGTGATCTCCAAGGGGAGTGAGAGAGGAATGCAAAGGAGAAGTGTAGAAAAGGAATGTTCAGGGCATGCAGGCGTGACTTAATTCAGCAGCTCTCCAGCTCTGCTCTGCCAGGCAGTGCTGGCACTGGCAGTGCTGCAGGCAGCTCCTGGATGCTGAGGACAGGTTGTGTGCAGAGCTTAACTGGGGATCCAGCAGGGCAAAATGCCAACACAGAGCTTCAGGGAAGGGCTCTTGAAGCTCAGGTCTGTGATCACTTGACAAGGTTCTACAGCCCTGTCAGGTAAGGTTTGTTCCTTTGGCTGAAGTAAAGGCTGTAGGAACATTGGTGGGTGCTCAGGACACTCTTAACAGAGGGTGTTTGGGATGCAAATGTTGAGTGCAGCATGATGCTGGAAGAAATGAAAAACTAACACAGCAAGCATGACTTTATTAGCTCAGCCAGCAGGAAATACACCCTGGAGAGCCGTGGCTTGCTTTTCCCCATCCATCCATCCATCCATGGAAAGGTAACACAGGAAGCATTAAGCCCCAAACTCAGTTGTGACTCCAGCACAGTGGGATCTCAGCTGGTTTTGCCTCTAGACAGTGGTCCATGCTAATCATCCAGATGGGAACTCCTTCCAAGACAAATAATCAATAGAGTATAGCTGAGTTGAGGCAGAAATGAGTCCCAAAGGTCCAGTTCACTGCAGCAACTGTAGCTGCAGGACAGCATAGGGTCAAAGAGGCCAGGGCTGCCAGAAG